TCGTTGTCCATACCGTCAATGTCTTCGGAGTCGTAGTCTAGCATGTCGGTTAGGTCGTCGACAGTGGCTACAAAGTGGGTGGTGGGAGGGTTTTGAATTTCTTCGTCGTCCGTGTCCCAACCATCCTGACCGCAGTCCGGCCAGGGCTCTCCTGATAACGAGAGATACTTTAGCGAATTCAGGATGTCACCAAAGGGTGAGTGCTGAAAGATGTCCGCAGCGGTGAACTCCATGATCGGCGCCCAATCGGATTCGATTGGCAGGGGCGCATGAGGCTCGGAGTTCGGCGAGGAGTCCGGCACCTCGGAGTCACGGGTTTTGCAAAGGACAAGGTCAGTATTCGGCTCCATCGCCGTAGAAGTTGCAGCCCCCGAGGCGGTGTCCAGCCACCTGTCCTCGATCTGCGCGGTCGGCTCCGAACTATGGGTCAGAGCGGACTCATGTGCGGCCTACAGGGCACTGTCCGGTGACAGAGCTAAATCATGCCCACCGTGACAGTGCAGCGTGCTCGGTTGTGGCTCGAATCCATCAAAGATCAAGTCTCCACGGATGTCAGCCGTGAAGTTTAGGCTTCCAAACCTGACCTGATAGCCAGGGCGTAGCTTCCGATCTGCTCCAGATGGCCAAGCGAATTGGCCCGCAGTGCAAAGCCGCCGAACACGAAGATCTGTCCTGGGAGAAAAGTCTCACCCTGGACTGCGTTGTTGTTGATTGAAGAAGCCATCAAGCCTATCGGTGACGACACAGAGGAACTCTCAATGAAAGCACCAATGTCGGTGTCAAAACCGGCGGATCTCGGGTAGGGGGTCCCAGACTATGCGTCTAGGCGGATGGTAACAGGAGACAAGGGACACGATGTTTTTACCCAGGTTCGGGCCCTCTCGATGGAGGTAAAACCCTACTCCTGCTTGATTGATATTGATGATATGGGTAGTACAAGAGTGGATCTACCACGTGATCAAGGAGGCTAAACCCTAGAAGCTACCCTATGGTATGATTGTTGTAATGGTTGTTCGTCCTACGGACTAAAACCCTCCGGTTTATATAGACACCGGAGAGGTCTAGGGTTACACAGAGTCGGTTACAATGGTAGGAGATCTACATATCCGTATCACCAAGCTTGCCTTCCACGCCAAGGAAAGTCCCATCCGGACACGGGACGAAGTCTTCAATCTTGTATCTTCATAGTCTTGGAGTCCGGCCGATGATGATAGTCCGGCTATCCGGACACCCCCTAGTCCAGGACTCCCTCAATGACTATTATCGTCCACAACTCACTTGTGTTCTAATCGTGCATATAACATCTACGCATAAACCTGGCTCGGATGCCACTGTTGGGGAACGCGGTAATTTCAAAAATTTCCTACGCACACTCAGATCATGGTGATGCATAGCAACGAGAGGGGAGGGTGTTGTCCACGTACCCTCATAGACCAAAAGTGGAAGCGTTATGACAACGCGGTTGATGTAGTCGTACATCTTCACGATCGACCAATCCTAGTACCGAATGTACGACACCTCCGCGATCTGCACACGTTCAGCTCGGTGACGTCCCACGAACTCATGATCCAGTAGAGTGTCGAGGGAGAGCTTCGTCAGCACGACAGCGTCATGACGGTGACGATGATGCTATGGATGCAGGGCTTCGCCTAAGCACCGCAACGATATGACCGAGGTGGATTATGGTGGAGGGGGCACCGCACACGGCTAAGAGAGCAATGATCAACTTGTGTGTCTATGGGGTGCCCCCTTCCCCCGTATATAAAGGAGTGGAGGAGGGAGAGAGGGCCGGCCTCCTAGGCGCGCCCAAGGGGGAGTCCTACTCCCGGTGGGAGTAGGATTCCCCCTTCCCTAGTTGGGGTAGGAGAGGGAAGGAAGGGGGAGGAGGAGAGAAGGAAAGGGGGGCCGACCCCCCTCCCAATTAGGATTGGGCTTGGGGGGGCACCTTGGCCGCCTCCTCCTTTCCACTAAGGCCCAATAAGGCCCATTGACTCCCCGGGGGGTTCCAGTAACCTCCCTGTACTCCGGTAAATGCCCGAACTCACCCGGAACTATTCCAATGTCCAAACATAACCATCCAATATACCGATCTTTATTTCTCGACCATTTTGAGACTCCTCGTCATGTCTATGATCATATCTAGGACTCCGAACTAAACCGGGGCATGGGCAGCCCGGCCCGAGCCCGGCTCTAAAAACCCGGGTAGGGCTCGGGCTTTGTTTTGCAGCCCGAATGGTAGTTCGGGCCGGGCTCGGGCTTCTCTTTTTCTATTTTTTGGGCCGGGCTTGCACGTACACGTACTAAAAAACAGTGTTCAGGACAGGCTTTCGGGCTTCGGGCTTGATTTCGGGCTGGGCTCGGGCTTGAAATCAGGGAGTATTTGGGGCTTCGGGCCGGGCTCGGGCTTGAGAAATGAAGGTCGGGCTTTTACAAGCCCGGCCCGAAACCCGGCCCGGCCCGACGTTTGCCCAAGTTTACTCCAAACTACCTTCGGTACATCAAAACACATAAACTCATAATACCGATCGTCACCGAATGTTAAGCGTGCGGACCCTACGGGTTCGAGAACTATGTAGATATGACCGAGACATGTCTCCAGCCAATAACCAATAGCGGAACCTGAATGCTCATATTGGCTCCCACATATTCTACAAAGATCTTTATCGGTCAAACCGCATAACAACATACGTTGTTCCCTTTGTCAACGGTATGTTATTTGCCCGAGATTCGATTGTCGGTATCTCAATACCTAGTTCTATCTCGTTACCGGTAAGTCTCTTTACTCGTTTCGTAATGCATCATCCCGTAACTAACTCATTAGTCACATTGCTTGCAAGGCTTATAGTGATGTGCATTACCGAGTGGGCCCAGAGATACCTCTACGACAATCATAGTGACAAATCCTAATATCGATCTATGCCAACTCAACAAACACCATCGGAGACACCAGTAGAGCACCTTAATCATCTAGTTACGTTGTGACGTTTGGTAGCACACAAAGTGTTCCTCCGGTATTCGGGAGTTGCATAATCTCATAGTCATGGGAACATGTATAAGTCATGAAGAAAGCAATAGCAACATACGAAACGATCAAGTGCTAAGCTAAGGGAATGGGTCAAGTCAATCACATCATTCTCTAATGATGTGATCCCATTTATCAAATGACAACTCATGTCCATGGCTAGGAAACTTAACCATCTTTGATTAACGAGCTAGTCAAGTAGAGACATACTAGTGACACTCTGTTTGTCTATGTATTCACACATGTACTAAGTTTTCGGTTAATACAATTCTAGCATGAATAATAAACATTTATCATGATATAAGGAAATATATAAATAACAACTTTATTATTGCCTCTATGGCATATTTCCTTCAACCATGTCGAGCAGAATTAGCTTTGGCATGCATACCTTGGGGATGGGACCTTTCCAAGGCCGGATTGCCGATGCCGCCGTCCTCCGATGGACGACCCGCCGGATTAACTCCACCTTCTCCTCGGAGCGCAACCCCTGCCTCGCCGGGTCATCGGGCGGGACTACCGCATCGACGATCTCCGCGACTTCCTCCTCATCATACCCGGGGGCGAAAGCCTCGCAGATCACGTCGGACGGCGTTGGCGAGTACGCCACCGGCGATCCGCCTGGGCAAACCCCGTCCTCGTCGTCCTCTCCGTCGTCACTGTCCGCAAGCGCCCAGAATCGTCCGCCTACCCTCCGCCGATCGACGGGGGCAGAGGCACGAGCAGGTGACGCCGTCGCTAGTCCTCCAGACAGTTGTCTCACCAGGAGGTACTCTGTTTGCTCATGTCAGCCTTTCACACACATGCCATGATAACAACGATGCATGATGTCATAAAAAATTGATTGCATTGCACATGCAGATGAGTGGTGTGAAATGTAAACGATCTAGAAATGGTTGGGATGGTTGGCAAGGGAGAACATGGAGTTTCTTAGCTCGGGTTCAAATGAATCCGGATGAAAAGTAAAAATAAATAAACATCAAAAAATATTTTGAGTGCTTGCAAAGCTTTATCACGGAATTACATCCGTGAAAGTCATGGCAAAAAAATAAATAATTGATGCTCCGAAGATGCTACTTTTAAAAGCATTTTGAAGCATTGATTTTATCTTTTTTGTCAGGACTTCCACAAATGTGATATGGCGATGAAAATTTGCAAGTACTCGAAACATGATCCCCTGGAGCACGTTCATGAAAAAATTACATCCGGTGCCATGAAAAAAGTTCAGTATTGTTTGATTTTTACTTTTGCGAGTTTACTGTTCTGGTCATGCTCGAGCGCAGATTAGGACTTCCGTAGTAATTCCTTTCTAGAAGTATTTTCTTTACCTTCCGTATATAAAATTCGCAATGGATCACGCGGCCGGACGCCACCAGGCACGCGCGAGCCCGTGGAGGGATCCAGGTCGGACTGGATAAACTAGGCGCTGGGCCAGCGACGCCACGCGCCCACCCGCCGCTGGGTCCAGAGGCTCGTGCCCACCACGGCACCGCGCCCGCCACGGCGCCGAGGTGGGAAGTCCACGCAGCAGCACGCGCGGCCGAACGGTGCCGCCCACGCGCCCCGCCCCATCGCCATCCCCCTCTCCCCGCCCCACGGTTCGGCTACGCTACACGACGTCCCCAATCACACGGCGGGTCGCTTTCTCCCTCCGCCCCCGGCTTCTCCCCGTTGGACGATCCGTCCGTCGTCCTCCCCCTACTTAGCTTCCCCCTCCCGTCTCTCCCCCCTTCCCTCCCACCCCTTTACCTCGTGCGATCACCGAGAACCATAGGTAGAAGAAACCCTCGAAGAGCAGCTCTTAGGCTCGCACTCTCGAATCCTAGCCCCCTTGTCCGCTTCAATTGGAGGTAATCCTCCTGATTTATTTGTTTCTTCATGTTCTTTCGTCTTGTTGCTGGGCCGGGGAGGCGGAGGAACTGATGGACCTTGGTTTTAGTCGCAGGGTGAGGGTACCGGGTCGAGCTTCTGGGCCAGCATGGTGCCCAGGGACATGGTGAATGCCCCCGCCGAAAGGCTGCACGTCCAAGGGTGAGTTCTGGGGCCTGCAATTGATTTATTTTTCAGTCTTGGGAAGAGGAGCAAGAAAATGAACTGGCCCGCAGATTGAATTCCGCAGCGATTTTCACCCTGTAGAATTAGTTCGAGCATGATCTTTTTTCAATAAAATCATCGCGGGTGTATATGGAAATACTGAAACCCATATGACTTCGTACTCAGCCTTGAAGTAAAGGAACCAACCAGAGTTTTTTAGCCCTAAACAACCATTGTTTCTGAAATTTTAAACTGCTTGCAAGTCGTAGCATCCATTCCATCGGTAATCTTGTCGCTGTGGAAGAGGTAATTCGGTGTGGCTTCTCGTCTTCTGATTTCATGCGCTACAAATTTAAATTCGTGCAATAGTGTTCACCCTGGTGTCTTATGATCCTGGGAACTCCTGCCAAGATAAAACTGTCTCATACAATTCTGATATCATCTGACTGATTCTTACACTGATGTTTGAACATTGTGCAGGTCTGTCGTGAACAAGAAGTGTGAGACGAAGGTGCCAAATAAAATCCACAAGTCGGAGAGGGAGAAGCGGAAGCGAGGCACGCAGAATGACCTCTTTAATGAGCTGGGAGCCATGCTAGGTTTGTGTATATCTTATCTTACTAGTACAAAGCAGCAAGCTGCAACAACATGATTTCTGGTGCCATTACCGCATTTGGAAGTTCCGTTATATGAGCTTGCCGAGTGGTTATCTCTGTAAAATTTAGCATGCTGGTAGAGCTATTGGGTCATCGAAATGCTAGGCTGGTTTTATTAGGATAATAAAGCAAGATCACAGATTCAACATCTAGCAAATAGCTTGTATTCACACAATAGCCTGAGTTTTGACCTTTCACTATGCAAGGCAAATTTACATTGAGTGCATATATGTCATGACCTTCTCCCCATGTGTCTGATTAGTTTGTATCAAATCTACAGCCCCATCCTTTTGGTTATGCATTTATACTTTCTAAATCAATGCAAACATCTCCTTTTCAGAACCAGACAGGCAGAACAACAGGAAGGCATGTGTATTGGGTGACACTACACGGATACTGAAGGATTTAGTTTCACAAGTGGAATCTCTTCGGAAGGAGAATAGCACACTGAAGAATGAATCTCACTATGTAAGACCTTTTGAATAGAGCAACTCTATTCAGTAATTTGATGATTTGTGTCTATTATATCATGGATATGAAAATGTAGTACATATTCTTGTGCCGAGATTCCTTTAGAATAGGAAACCAATCCCATCCGTTAACATTTATGGCTTCATGCCAAGTATATTTATGAACAAATAGGAACTATTCCAAGTAATTTATGCCAAGTAATTTACACTATTATCACTGCCCAGATAATACACTTCCCCAGCACTTCATCACTGATGCATTTCCTACTTTCCTCATGATATGAAACAGGTTGTGTTGGAGAGAAATGAACTGCGTGATGACAACAGCATGCTTCGCAATGAAATCCAGGAGCTTCAGAACAAGCTGAGAATGCGTCTGCAAAGCAACCCTATTTGGAGCCAGGATACTACTACAAGATCAGCCGTTGCAGTACCTTATCCCACAAGCGGAGTGTTCCCAGTACAGCATTCACCACATTCACCAGTCATCACCTCGACGGCACTTTCTCTGCAACCTGTAATCACTGAGCAATGCTATGCTGCCCCACTACGAGAGCTGCAGCTCTTCCCAGAAGTTTCACCTACATCCACTGAAGATAGCGAACTGTCACAAGACCAGGGGATTTCCAATAGTGTAACAAGGCCCCAGGCACGGTACCCAACACCAGCGGCGATGTCGCCAGTAAATGAGTTCCCAATCCTTTCAAGGATGGGAGAGGAGCAACAATATAGTAGTGGCACTAGTGAGGAAGACGGTCCACACAGGGTTTAAGTACATAACACAATTTGCTTCACCGTTTGAGAAGTTTCTGTAGTGTGAGTGGAGTGTGTTTCTCTGCAACAGATACATATGCAGACGTGCATGTAAACTCCAATCTGTCTCCGAATCTTGATCTTAACTGGTTAAATAGGTGATAATAAAAAATGCTTTACACCTGAATCTTGTATCTGATAACTGCACATGTATGGATAATGGATTGCTCTCAGCAAAAATCAGTATAGATGATGATACTGCTGTTAGTCACCTGGGCACAAGTACATTTTCGCATCGACAGTCCAACCTTGCGATCAGTTGGTGGTCGTTGCTTCAGTTCAGCAAGGTTAGATATTAGGAAGACACTTCAATGGAGCTGCAGCCCGCTTCTTTCCTGTCCATGTCCATTTTCTGCCCTTGTGAATCCCTGACCTGTGCTATTTCATCCCAACGGCCTTCCAATGCATATGCGTTCGACAGAAGAATGGTATCTGATGGATGGTAATTGCCCATGGCATCCAATCGTGCCTGCACCGTCCTCCCCAGCTCGACATTGCCATGAACTCTGCAGGCTGCAAGTAAAGTTCTCCACCCCACAGCATCGCCATGGGACGACAAACTTCTTATAAGCTCATACGCTTCATCCAATCGCCCTGCCTTTCCGAGGAGATCGATGATGCAGCCATAGTGTTCGGTGTGAGGAGATAGGCCATATTTCCGGACCATGCACTCGAAGTGCCTCTTCCCTTCAAACACTAACCCGCCATGGCTACAAGCATTCAGCGCCGCAAGAAACGTAACCTCGTTAGGAGTGACACTGTCTTGTTGCATTGAGCGGAACAAGGATATCGCGGCATCAGACTGTCCATTAACCCCCAACCCCATGATCATCGCAGTCCATGCCATCACATCCCTGTCGCACATTGCGTAAAAGACTGCAATTGCCTCCTTTGGGTACCCACACTTGAAGTACATATCCACGAGCGATGTTCCTAGTGCAGTGTCAAGCTCAAGACCAAGCTCCAGCGCAAGCTCATGGATGCGACGACCGGGTACGATTGCCCCCGACGCTCCACACGCAGAGAGCAAACCCACAAGAGTCCCTGTGTTTGGTTTCAATCCCTCCTGTCTCATCCTATCCACCAATCCCATTGCCTCCTCAATCTGCCCGGCCTTTGCGCAGCTATCCACCATGCAATTATATAGCACCAAGTCCCTCCTCGTCGCATCTTCGAAGACCTTCTTTGCACATCCAATCTCCCCTTTCCTAGAATACATCCCCTCCAATGCTGCCGCCACCTTGACATCCTTGCAGAACCCTGTCTTGACGCTGAACCCATGCAGTGACTCTCCTTGCCACCCGCATGCAACCAAGGCGACAACCGCCGTCGCACTGACATCCACACCACAGCACATCATAGCGCTGAACATCTCCACTGCCGCGCTGATCTCCCCGGCCCTGGCATAGCTCCCGATCATCGTGTTCCACGACACGGTGTCCCTCTCAGGTATTTCATCGAACATCCTCCGCGCGTCCCCCATGTTCCCAACGCAGCAGTAGAAGTGGCACAGCACGTTCCCCAGGCCCACGACGCCTAAGAACCCGTACCGCAGCACGAGCGCATGAACCTGCCGCCCGAGCGAGCCCGCCGCGTCATCGCCGGAGTTCTTGGCGCAGAGCGCGACGAGCGGCTGGAAGGCGAACTCGTCCAGCGCGGGGAGGCGCGCGCGCGCGGAGGCGAGGACGGCGAGGGACGCGGAGGCGGCCGAGGAGAAGGAGGGAGCCGCGGAGAGGGCGCGGAGGAGGGCCGTGTGGTGGTAGAGGGTGGGGCACGGAATGGCGGCGAAGAGCGAGAGCGCGTAGGGCAGCGGCGCGAGCGGGGAGGCGAGCAGCCTGGCCGTCGGGAGCGCGTGGTGCGGGAAGAGCGAGGCCTTGAGCATGGCCGCGTGGAGCTGGAGCAGGTGCGCCGGCCGCGTCGCCGACCTGAGCAGCGCCGTGATCGTGGTGACCAGCGGCTTCCCCGGCGACGGCGGCTGCATGGCGCTCGGCCGTCGCGCGCGCGGACGCGCGGTGAGGTGTTTTTTCCCCCCCTGTGAGTGCGCCCCGTTCGCTGCTTCGAGTTCACGGCCTTATTACGCGGGGTGGGCCGCGTGTGTCTGCCTCGCCGTTAAAGGCTCACTAGGGCTTGCATAAGCAAAGAGGGCCAAAGTCCAAAGCCCGGCCCATCAGACCGAACTAGGTTTAGCCCTCCCCTATATAATATCGCCTCGTCCTCTCGGCCGCCACTCTCCACCGATCCCCTCACCCCCACCGGCGGCGCACAGCCCGACGACCCGAGCGATCCTGCGGAGGCGGCAGCCATGGTGCACGTCAACTTCTACCGCAACTGTAAGCCCCCCTCTACGCACCCACCCATGTCGTCGTAATGCGCGCCGCGTATGCTGAACGGCGTCTCTCTCTCTGGGCCGATCCAAATTTGCTTTTCTAGTTTCATGAGGCAGCGTCTGTTGGTGTCTGTTATAGGATTGCAACAGCTTAGTTTCGTTCCCGTTTCTGGTTTTGATCGGATGAACTAGGCGATTTGTACCCAGTGGCGAAGAAGATTTGTAGACTAGCCTGGTACGGAGCAGATTTGGCTCTAAAACGAGAGATTTTGGTTATGATCTGATAACTAATTGAAATATATTTTCTCAAACATGAGATTTCTGTTATCTTGTGACACTTCACTCGGTTTAGTCTAATGCGGCTTCCAGGACGTGTAGTTTAGAATTTGATGCGAGATAATTAGCACGAGCTGGCTTCTGATTCATAGTGTTTATCTCCTGCTTAACGGTTACGCGTTTAAGCCATGCCATTTCCACTTGAAATTTTACTGCGTTATGTGCTTGTGTTGTATCTGATTGTTCTTGTTGGCTGCTACAAGTATCTTACGATTTTGTTGTGGTGCAGATGGGAAGACTTTCAAGAAGCCAAGGCGTCCGTATGAGAAGGAGCGTCTTGACGCTGAGCTGAAGCTGGTTGGGGAGTACGGTCTGCGGGCCAAGCGTGAGCTCTATCGTGTGCAGTATGCCCTCAGCCGCATCCGAAATGCTGCCAGGGAGCTGCTCACTCTGGATGAGAAGAACCCCCGCCGTATCTTTGAGGGTGCGGCTCTCCTCCGCCGCATGAACCGCTACGGTCTTCTCACTGAGGAACAGAACAAGCTTGATTACGTGCTTGCCCTCACTGTTGACAACTTCCTCCAGCGCCGTCTTCAGACCATCGTCTTCAAGAATGGCATGGCCAAGTCAATCCATCATGCTCGTGTCCTTATCAGACAGCGCCACATCAGGTTAGCCATCGACACTCGCCCATCTCTTTTATGCATGTTGAAATTTACAGGGCTACTAGTTGATCCTGTCATGGAATATCATTCAGTACTCACCTGGGAATCAGTTATCCACAATGAGATCTGTACCTATGTTGTTGTAGCCAACAGTTTTGTGCTTCACTATAATATCGTGATAGGTCATATGCAGAAGTAATGTTTGGATGTGCTTTGGTAATTTAGATTGTACTCCCATAATGTAAGTCCTTTTTTTACACTGTGCTAGTGCCAAAAAAACGTCTTACATTATGGGACGGAGGGAGTAGTTATCTATATTTTGTTGCTGATATTGTTATATATTTTTTGGCTGGTGGATCTCTACTGATTGTAGAACACATGACTTGTGCCTATTCATTTTGGATGGGGCATATGATGAGAAACTGTATGCAAACTCATGACGGTCGTCTAAGATACTTTGTGTATAATGTTGCAATCATATTTTCTCTGATGTCACTTGCTCTTGAAGTCTGGGGTATGCTATCCATGATGGATCATTTTGTTTGACTTGCTTGTCTTGCTGTAATCATGTCCTTGTATAATTTTAAGCTTTGCAATCTTATAATGGAAAAATAATGCAATCTAAAAATTTCCGAGTTTCAGAATGTCTGTTCAAATCTGTTAAGGTTGTGGTTGGTTTACTCTTCCATGGTTTAGTTGCTAATATATCTATTTGGGCTTCTTATTTGAGTGGATAGATCATAACATTACACACAGTGTCCTGTTAATATTAAGTCTAATAATTGTTGTAGATCTTTCTGTTGCTAACTTGTTATGTCCTTATCATTCTGAGTGCTCTATTTGGCTGCTAAGCTCTTTATTTTGTCTGATATTTTGTTTTCTTCTTCTTCAGCTTGATAGCTTCATTTTCTGTTGGTTAGTTGACTTCATATACCAGCCTTTTCTTTTTCTGCTGTCAACATGAAGCAGCTGGCTCTGAATCAGTTAACTTTTGTGAATGAACATGCCTGGTTAACCTTGGCTTAAAATATGTTTATTTATATTTCTGAATTGCCATTTGTTGATCTGAACTTGTAAATCCCTTGTTGCTCTTAAAGGTTTGAACAACATGATTTTCCTTGTTTTTGTTTATTGATATTCATCACTCTTGAACCAATCCTTGTAAACCGTAGTAGTGGCAGACCTGAAGATGATGATTTATAGATCATGCTTGATAGTTGTGAGGTTGCCCATGCCTGTAGGTTTATATTAGGCAGTTTGTTTCCAGTTTTTTTGCCGATATTTGTACATTTTTGGCTGGTCGATATATACTGATTGAAGGATACGGGACATATGATGAGAAACTTATGTCACTCACGACGGTCGTCTGAGACACTTTGTGTGTAATGTTGCAATCAAATATTCTCTGATGTCCTTGCTTTTTCATCTTTGCAATCGTATTCTGGAAAATTATTTCAATCTGAAATTCTCTGTTTCAGAATCTCTATTCAAATTTATGAAGGTTATAGGTGAACTCTTCCATGGCTTATTTGCTAATATATCTTTTTTGGGCAATCTTCTTTTGAGTGGATTGATCAGTGCTTAGGTAGTTATTTTCCATATCAACTCTTTTGTAGTTCTGTTAAAATATCCACAGTACATGTTTTTTATGGCACAATGAGGAGTTAATATATCTCTCTACTGAGGTTGGAAGACCAATGACTCTTTATGTCCTTTTCATTCTGAGTGCCCTATTTTGCTGCAAACCTTTTTATTTTGATTGATATATGCTGTTTTCTTCTTCAGCTTAATTTTGTGTTGGTCTTTGTCTACCAGCCTTTTCATTTTCTTCTCTGAACAGTTAGCTTTTGTGAATGAACACGTCTGGGTAACCTTGTCTTAAATTTTGTTTGTTGGTATTCTGAATTTCTAGTTAAACTTCTAACTCACCTGGTTTGAACAGCATAATTTCCTTGTTTTAGTTAAACAATTTCATAACTCTTGTCTTGAGGTCCTTGTATACTGTAGATGTGAGGCATATCATATATAATGATCAGCATCTGACTGTTGTATATGTTTCTCCACAGGGTTGGAAAGCAGCTCGTCAACATTCCTTCTTTCATGGTGAGGGTGGACACTGAGAAACACGTCGACTTCTCGCTCACCAGCCCCCTTGGTGGTGGCCAACCTGGAAGAGTGAAGCGGAAGAACCAGAAGAAGGCCTCAGGTGGTGGTGGTGATGACGGCGAGGAGGAAGACTAAGCGCTCAGCCTCGACCCGCAAACTTCCGTTGCAGAAATGTTGAGATTGCCTTGTGGATCTTGCAACGGGAAATGATTCAAACTTTGGTTCGTTCTTAGAAACTTAGTGGTGTAGAGCTTTCGTTGCTTCAGAATCATTTGGCTATCGATTCTAAAATTAAACTTATGTTTGTTGGTTTTGCTTGGTTAGTGACTACCGAGCAGAAGAAGTGAACTCAGTGATGCTGCTTCGTTTTTTGTGAACCAAACGTATCTTGTTATCGATTTTACAGGCCTGGTTCTGAGTTATTTTACTCTGCATGAAGTGTTGTCCTTACTGTTTTTCTGTTTTGTCTGATCGGTTAAGTTGGTGACAGTTTCGAGTGTGTCGACCGAATGATACCCTTTCCCTGTCTAATTACAATTGTAATATTAGTAACAAATTTGAACTGTATTGTGGAAATGGGAATGAGGCCCCTGAGAAATTTGTTTTGGTTTTTTTAAGCAGCTTCAAGTTTGCCGGAATTTAAAAAAAGAGGCTGACCAAGCTGCCTTAGGCGAAAAATTCCTAGGATACAATATTGTAGCTTGAACCCACACCTTAGTGATCCTACCTGTGCAGCTCCATTAGCAGCCTCATGCCACATTTACAAATTGTATGGTTGCCTACATATGGACTTCCTGCATTAGGGGATCAACTTTGGCACGTTGTTTGGTTGCCTGCATTGTCTTGGCGCATACGACTACACGCTGTTTGGTTGCTTGCATGGGGTGTGATTAAGAGCTAGCACTTGCATTTAGCACACAGGGTTAAGAGCTAGCAGAGGAAGGGGGAGAAGAAATGCAGTGTGCACCGGACCATGGCGATTGCGGTGGATAGTGACCGTGTTCGACATGACGAGCATGGAGTCGTGGGCGAGCGACCCAGTCGGCGGCACGGCGAGCGACACCGTCAATGAGCTAGTTGCGGTGCTCGCGCAAAGACAGTGGACAGGGGAGGAGAATGCAGTGCTCGCGTCATGGTATCATCCGTGCGGTGGGACGAGAGAGGAGGCCGAGATGATCGACGCCAGAAGCGACTCCAGTGTTGTGGGACGAGAGAGGAGCCCAAGATGATCGACCCCGCCGGCGGCGCGGCGAACTGTAGTGTGCGCGCCATTGCAGCGTCAGTGCAGTAGGAGGACAATAGAAAGTAGGCCGAGATGAGCGACGCCGGAAACGACTCTAGTGTAGTAGGACGCGGGCAAGGAGATCAAGGGGAAGGACGTCGGCGTCGAGAGGGGCGAACATGAGGGCTTTGAACAGAGGACAAAGGAGCTCGACATGGCGGCGTCAGTGTAGTAAACTGTTGTTTAAAGAGAGATGAAGCTACGATCATCGAAACCAAAAACTTACAACACGAATGTTGTGAGGAACTGCGAGATTAGGTTGCTAGTCAAAGAAAATTTCAAATGATGGATCGTGCGCGACGAATCTGATAAAATTCGTCCAGAATAGCTCCAAACGGGAAGATGAAATTAAGAACTTACGGCCGACGAAACTACGAACCGATCACCTGAATGGAACCATAGCATCGAGGTGCATCTTTTTCGTGTAGAGCTTACCTCGAACCGAAGCACCGTTATGTAGATCAGATGGAGGAGATTAGATAGGACCTTACTAGAGGTTGAAGAAGACCTCAAGTAATCACCTCGCATCCTTCCCGTCTCCACTCGCGCAAGGGCCCGCTCCCTTGCGCTCGGCTCGGCCTGGCTCGCGAGACACTGCCAATTCGAGCGTTTCCAGCGAGCTAGCCTTTGAGCCGCTTTAACAAACGTGTGATGCAGGCTGAAAACAGGCAATCAAACAGGCCTCTGGCTTTCCGCACGGGCCTGATTGGGCTTTATGCAGGAAACCAAACACGCCCCTAGTGAAGACATACCCAAAACCTGTGATATAATGTCTCTCCCTACCACATGTGGCGCAATACACACCCGCCATGATCTGTCGACGAAGAAGCTCACCCACAACAGTCAGGCCATTGCGCATTAGCCATCATGTATGTATTCTTCTTTTTTCTTTATTTGGTGTACTTGTATCCCCATGGTGCAAGCCATCCTTTGTGGCTGACGATCGTTGAAGAAGGTTCCTGTCATCCGGTCTTCACGCGATTCTTTGCCATACGCAGGTTGCCAGAATTACTATTCTATTGTACGATTCTACGACTTTACAATCCAAATTAACCCCTCCGATTCTATGATTTTGGTTAGTAGAATCTACGTTTTTACAATTTTGATAGTTAAGATTGTACAATTCGCGATCCTACGATTAGAGCTGCTATCCGATTCAGAATTACAATTCTAGCAACCTTGACTGACTTAACTGTGTACCGTCCTAAAAATAAAATCAGAAAACACAATCCAGTCTTGATACAAATGAGCACCTCGCTGGAGACACTCAACCTACTGCCTTCGACATCGACCTTGCCAACAGAAGGTAAAAAGGGCCCCCCTTTGGATTTGGTAAGAGCACTCCGAGAACAATATTGAGCCGTTCTTCAGATTCGAAGGTGAAGGTCGATGCAACAATGTAGATTAACTAAGAACCTCAAAGCAAGCTTGCTTACACCACGAAACGTCATATCTGAGTGGGCCAAACATAGATCCACAATTGTTTCCCCTTTCATCTCCATGACCGTGAAAGAGGTGAGGAACAAAGCCATCTTAAGCCCGATCCAGCCATACGCCGAGCTTATTAGGGGTCCCATCGGACCGGCCACTTGCAATAGTATTTCTCTGTAGAAAATAACTGAGCTAAGGAGTGGGCGCCTTGAAACGCCACTAGAGAGCGATGGAGTGAAGCCCCACAAAGACATAGCACCACAGATAGTGAGGCCGTCGGAGGAGAAAGGGAGGGGTGTCAGAGCACCCTCAATGACTCGCAAGTAGGAGAGATAAAGGGAAGGGGAATAAGCCTAATTTCCTGTTGTCGAACCTAAATTACTTATTACTTGTCTTGTTTTCTGCGATAATCATTGCTTAACTGGCTTAGCAACTCGTTAGCATGTTAGATGATAGATTAGAGCATGGTTAATAATGTAGCCGGTTGATGGCTACAGAAAGATGCCATGTCATATAAAGTATTTATGAAAAATAATCATATAATGGGTTCGCTCTTAGATTAGCTCCAAGCATTTACTATTTGCACGAACAATGCATAAGATTGAAAGTGCATGTGTACTACTTTTTCTAGATTCATGTGCCATGGCAGTAGAATAAAAGCCTGCTTGACTCTCCTTTCTTCTCACTCCTCCAAATAGGCTTTTATGGCATGAAAAGTCTTGTAGCCTACTGACTAGGCTTTGTTAGAACATTTAACAAGCATACACATACCGAGAGCATCTACAACCAGACTTGATAAATCTGACCGACCGATCACGCCTCAAATAATCCATTCCACAATCGGATACCTCAAATCCATATTATTACATGCAACATAAACCTAATTTTAAGCGGAGCCCGTCCGGCTCCGCCGTGCTCATGTCCGGGGGGCGGCTGCGCTCCCTAGAGTGTTGGTCCGGCCGCCAGCGAGGTAAAGTAGGACATGGGACACGAGCCGACTTAGGAAACTCAAGACGTCGCCGTCTCCCATGCCCTACACTTCCTCGCCAGAGCCTGTGACCCCGACGGTGTCGGTGGACGCCAGATCAATGATGGACTCGTCCTGGGACGAGCCGGCGACATCCACCACGACGGGGTTGCGGCACCCGGACTGGTGCACAACACGGGACACCGGAGAATGCGACTCTGCCTTGCCAACATCCACCGCTGCGAAGGCTGCCGCTGCCTCCCGCGCCCGCTGCCTCACACGGTGTGCACGTCGCGCCATCTTTGCGTCAGACGACGCCCATGGCGCGTCCTGCTGCTCGGGGCGTCAACGGAGGGGTTGCGTGTCCGCCACCGTGTTCGGACATCAGACCGACCGCACCGTCTCCGATGAGGCAGCGATGCAACATCTCGCAGCAGATGCATCGGCCATTTGGCAGACGCAATGGATTCCCGACGGAAGGAGTCCGAGAGTTGTCGTCGGGCGGCCTCCTCACGGAAGGCAAGGCGGACGGTTGTCTCCTCCTCGGGGTGTCGTGGGATAAGCATGGAGTCGACGGATCTGGAGGTGTTGGACTCGGATCTGCTGCCCGCCATGCCGAAGAAGTTCGGAGATTGCCGAACAGGAGTTTGGGTGGCGGAAGGGAGTGGAATGAAGTGACTAGGGTTTGGTCCAGGAAGTGGATGAAGAGGAATATATGTGAGGTCGGGTGGGTCAACGTGGGCCGGGTCCGACATGACGGACATGCCCGGTCGCTACCATATCCGCCTCATATTTGGGTTGGATATGAAGGTGCCGATCAGCCTGCGCGTTTGAAGCGCCCGTCTGAGTCGATTTTTTGTTATCGATCACTTACAGGCTGTCTGCTCGGCCGTATAAGGCGTGTTTGGGGCGCCCGGCTCTGAGCAGGTGAGCTACGTAGTGCATATTTACCTTACAAATAATAAGAAATCAAGGAGTTTGGTTTAGTTAATTATAAGCTCGTGGTTTGCGTGGATAAGGACGTGTTTCGCTTGAATCCACCGCACAGCCTGAACAGATTTGCTACTGACGGAAAATTAAACCAAAAAAGTTTCCACGAGTATCACGCCTTTCGCTGGAAAGTGGAATAAATATTGTTTGTTGCAGAAAGTGATTTTTTTTATTTTGCTATTATGCAGGAACAATAGTAATAGTACCAAAGGAAAATCTTAGAGCAGTTGGCTAACATTTTAGAATATGCCCTGAAAAAAAGAACTAGTAAGTCGGTAAAGCATGTGCTTGCTTCGGATGGCCTCAAGCTGCTCCCCTTCTCCATTCCTCTCAGCTTAGCTGGGCTTGCAAAGCATGTGTTCGTCCATGTCCCATAGTAGTGCGACACCACCTCCATCTCATCACACAAGCAATCAGATGCCTCCACTCCCGCTCATCCGTTGCCCCGAATTCAACACCACCTCCATCTTCCTCCTCAAGTTCTGAAGTATCATCCTGTCTGCGTACGTAGTGTCGTACTCATACATTTCTTCATCTTGATGTGCTCAGTGCAGTTTGATGTACCCACCGCATGGCCATGGCCATGTACAGGGCACTGTCGTAGTCATATATATGTATTGTATCCCCTCTGCGTAGGGACTGCCGTTTCTTTTTCCTGCCGTAGTCATATATGTTCTAGTAGTTAGTACGTCCAGCTTGCCCATGCAGGGGCGGGAGCTGCTATGTCCAATATATTATCTAGCACCCGTCTTGAGCGGGCGCCCTACTGTAATTAGCCTGTCTCTAATCAGGAAAGAGCTGCAAACACGTACTTTATTAGAGAGTGAAGTCATCGCCTAGTCGTCGGCCGCCATTCACTTCAATGCACCAATAAGAGAGGGCGTTGCGCACCATCAATACGCCCAGCCCCCTGCACCGAAATAACCACACCCATGATGAATTGATTGCTCCAATTAACACCGCCTGCTTAGCCTCTCCGAATCGATGCCACTGGGGTCGTCCTTAGTAACCTCTCGCAGCATGCTCAGCCTCTCCGAATCGATGCCGAAAACAACAGAATCGGGGTAATTAGCAGTCCCCCACAAGGCCACGATACTCTTGAGCACACAGATCCGTTGCTTTCCCGTATGCATGCTATGGAAGACAGGGGGGATTGATTAGAGCTCGTCTAGCACTATCATGCTGAGAAAACAAGAGGATTCATATGGATCCTGACGAGCTAACCTGGATTTCTCTGTTTCTGCTGAAGCCATGCCCTCTTCCCCCATTGCGTCTCCACCAGCTGGAGGCTTCAAGAAGATGTACAGTGCTACAGATCGAGGGACAGTTCACCCGCTTGCTAAATGATGGTGCACCAAACGTCAGGGCATTTATGACCACACCACCGAACGGCCGTCCCAGTGTGTCGAGTCGCTAACGGACAAGGCTGTATTCGTACACAAATAAATGTGTGTTGGCCCACATGCGAGAGTGTATAGTGGGCGTATCCCCGTTGTGAAAAAGGAAAACACTGTGCGGTATTTACGCGTGGGCAGGAGATGCTATATTAGCTGCTGATCACGACGCGCTGCGGACGCACGAGATAACGACCTCGCGTGGCCGCATGTCCTCAAAATTCGTGTCGCTAGTAAGTACAATATTTTCGAACACTATACCAATACAGACTCTACCCCTATACGCACCTCCGAAAGACTGAGCTAGCATATCATCTTGAGATTAACGAAGTCAGTAAAGACGCCTCATACTTGATGGGAACGTTCCATCACACTAAACGCGCATCGCCGAAAATCCTGAAATAAATTCAAAAATAAATGCGAGCACAAGGCCATAAACCTTGGTGGCTTGGGGATACTACTGTCCATCTAAGGGCATATCCAACAACCCGTAAATTTTCTCCCGCATCCATCCGCGGACAAGGGGGACCAGTCTGTGGACATGCATGCGAGAAGCCGCCATCTAACCGTAGCCGCATACATCCGGCCTTCCTCATTTTTTTAAGTCCAGAAGATCAAATAGCCGCATATATAGGATAAAAACGTTCAAGTAGCCACATGCAGCAGTAGTTCAAATTTTAAAAAGTTCAAATATTACATCCCAACATTGTTTTCCCCTTTAACCGTCCACTAATTCTCAATCAGATCTTACTTCAGCTGCTCGTGAGTTGGTCAATGCCGAATTTTTTGATGCATTTGAATAAACTATTCAAATGTGACCGGATTGTGGTCTGGAAGTTGGATAGGATCACCCATGTTCTTAAATTTTAGAGCCGCGGCAACATCGTCACCCTCATCCTCGACGATCATGTTGTGCATGATCACACAACATGTCATCACGTCCCACAAGGTCTCCAGATCCCATTGTTTAGCAGGTCCACGAACAACTGCAAAACGGACCTGCAGAACTCCAAATGCCCTCTTGACATCCTTTCTAGCTGCTTCTTGTCTTTGGGCAAAGTGAGCCTTTTTCTGACTAACTGGGTTAGAGATGGTGCTCACAAAGGTAGCCTACGGATGATAGGTACCATCAACTAGATACTAGCCTATATTGTACTCGTTCCATTGACAATATAGTAGCAAGGAGGAGCTTTTCCTTCAGTCAGCCTCGCAAACAACAATGATCGCTGCCACACATTGATGTCATTGTGAGACTTGAGCATGCCAAAGAAAGCGTGCCAAATTCAAAGATCTTGTGATGCAACTGCTTCAAGAATTATGGTGGGCTTCTTAACATGGCTCTAATATTGCCCTTGTAAAGCCTTCAGCAGTTCTTCCATTTTCAATGCATGCAGTCAAGAGATCAAAACAAACATGGCCACCCTCTTACTTCTGAGATTGCCAAGAACCTCTCAGTGTATGCCCGAGTAGGTTCTCTCAGGTACTGAGGTCCGAACACCTCGACCATGACAATCGCAAACCTGACCATGGCATCTCCGTATGTGCTCTCAGACAGCCGTATGTACTCGTCCCAAGAATCAGCGACCGTGTCATATGCAAGCATCCCAAGTGCAGCCATGCACTTCTGGTAACCTGAGAACCCAATCGTTCCCACTGCATCCTTCTTCAAGATGAAGTAATCATCATAAGATCGGATGCCATGATACAAACGATCGAAAACAGTCTTGCACTTTTGAAAACGCCGGAGAAAATGGCCAGGGAAGAGTGCGTCGGGGGCAAAATAGTCGGCCATCAGCGTCAAATGGCCGCACGCCCTGTTGCGGTTGATCATTCGATGACCCTTGGTCGAGCCCTTGAAATTGAGAACATGCTCCTTGGCATGCTCCATTTTTTCAAGGACCGCCTGCATCATCGCCGTCTCATCCGAGTACTCCTCGTCTAATGAGCCGTCAGACGACTCAACATACTGCTCGTATATGTACTCCAAATCGAAATCCATCACTAGAAAGAAGAAGGGAAAACTCTTTTTAGCTCCAGCGATTCATCCAACAGTTGCCGGACATGGTGACTATAGCAGTAGAGGATGGTACCTGACATGGCGGTCAGAGAACAGGGGTTGAACGGCGACAAAGGAGAAGTGAGGTGGAACCCTGCTGAAACGCTGGAGGAGACGAAGATGTAGAGTTTCGGCAGGGTGTGGCGTGGTGGCCGGGGTGGTGGAGTGGTGGCGAAGGCAAGAGCGAAAGAAGGAAGAAGAGAAAACGAGGAGGATGAAGGCGCGGGGGACTCAGAATGGTTTTGTGTGGGCCAGGGGTGTTAGTACGTATCTGGTGTCCGGACTCCCGCAAAGCTTTTCATGTTTGTCTCCAGTTTGCGGGAGAAAACACGCCTGGACCGCGCCGTGGACCGTTACAAAACCGCATTGGATGGCTTCAGCGGTCCGGGCGGATGCGGGCGGTTTACGGATCCGCCTTAGAGATGCCCTAACCATTCAATCATAGATTGGTTCGTAGTACAAAATTTAGGAGGGGTTTTTGGTACCATTTTAACCGTTGATAAATAGAGTGGAATTTTCTTGAAAAGAATAACATTTAAAGAAAAAGATGACGATCAGCATCAAACTCACGAGTCACGCACGCGAGCTCTTCTAGTACTACTATTTAGCATGCAGATATCTTCTTGTGTGCTTTGCTCTGAATTCTCGCACCTGCCCATCGCCATGCCGTCGTCCATGTACGCCGCACCGCAGGCAAGCGCAAGCAACGGCGTTGGCAATGGCGACGGCATGCCACACGTGCTTGTTGTCCCTTACCCGGCGCAGGGTCACATGCTACCTCTCCTCGACCTCGCGGCGCTGCTCGCCGCGCGGGGCCTCGCGCTTACCGTGGCCGTCACGGCAGGCAACGTCCGGCTCCTCGCGCCGTTCCTCGCAGCGTGCCCGTCAGTCGCCACCGTCGTTCTACCGTTCCCTTCCTCGCCGTTCCTCCCGGCCGGGTGCGGCGAGAACACCAAGGACCTCCCGGCCGATCTCTTCCGCCCGTTCATGGCCTCCCTCGCGGCTATCTCCGCGCCGCTCCTCTCCTGGTGCAAGTCCCAGCCCCGCGGCGTGACGGCCATCGTCTCCGACCTGTTCACGGGGTGGACGCTCCCGCTTGCCGAGGAGCTCGGCGTGCCGCACGTGGCCTTCTCGTGTGCCAACGTTCACTACCTTGCCACGACGCACTCCCTCTGGCGACGCATGCCAACAAGGCGCCACCTCGACGATGCCGACGAGATTGTCACCTTCTCGGAGGTGCCCGGCTCGCCTAGCTTCCCTTGGCGCAGCCTGCCGTGGATGTTCAGGGTGCATGTGCCCGGCGACGAGGTGTCGGAGACTATCCGGCGGAACTTCCTGTGGAATATAGAGAGCTCCTGCTTCGTGGCAAACTCGTTCGCGGCGCTCGAGGAGGCCTACGTGGAGCATCCGCTCCCCGACCTGATGGCGAAGCGGGTTTTCGCGGTGGGCGCGCTGTCGGACGCCGTGCGCAACTGCGACGAACGTGGCGGGAAGCCGGCGGTGGCCCCGGCGAAGGTGGCCGCGTGGCTGGACGGGTTCGACGACGGCTCCGTCGTGTACATCTGCTTCGGGTCGCAGCAGGCGCTGTCGCCGGCGCAGGCGGCGTGCGTGGCCGGCGCTCTGGCGCTGAGCTCGGTGGCTTTCGTCTGGGCGGTGAGGAGCGGCACCGTCGTGCCGGAGGGGTTCGAGGCCGCAGCCACGGCGGCGTCACGGGGCATGGTGATCCGCGGGTGGGCGCCGCAGGTGGAGATCCTGCGCCACCGAGCCGTGGGGTGGTTCCTCACGCACTGCGGGTGGAACTCGGTGCTCGAGGCGACCGCGGCGGGCGTGGCGATGCTCACGTGGCCGATGGGCGCCGACCAGTTCATCAACGCATCGGTGCTTGCGGAGGCCGGCGTGGCGGTACCGGTGGCGGAGGGCGCCGACACCGTGCCCGACGCTGGAAAGATGGCGAGCGTCATGGCTGCAGCTGTCGCGAAGGAGGGGGAGTCCGTGAGAGAGCGTGCGGTGGAGCTCGGCCGGAAGGCGGCCGCCGCCGTGGCGGAGGGCGGAACCTCGCACAATGATTTGGAAGAGTTGGTGCGTGTGCTCAGTGACGTCGACTAGTATTTAGCTAACGCGCGCTTAGCTGCCCCGTTCTTCGCTCGTTGGATTGACTCTTTTATATGTACTAGCAGATTATTGTCATTGGTTGTTTCATTTTGATCTTTTCTGTGTTGGCATATGTTTTTTATGTTTCGGGGGTGTTTTTTCTTTAGTAAATCGTGTTTGGTTTCTATTGAAGAAATTTTTTGTTCCAACAGAAGAATGAAGTTATTTGTTGCGTGATTGGGGCGTGTTTACATGTTTCGGCCTTGGTGTTGGTCCATGATGATTGTTTGAGCCTATTGAAAACTCCTATTCCACACTAAAACAGTTGAATTGTTGATGTAACACTAACATGGGACTGCCCACAAAGCTCTCCTTCGTTCTTGGCTTCCTTCTCCTCTGCAAGTTTTCTTCACTCGCTCAACTGCTAACTTGGAAAAAATCAGTTATACATTCTTATTTGAAAAAGTTAATTCAATTAAAATATGCTCAAGGAGTTTTAAAATTTTTGCAAATTTTAAAAATCATGAATTTTAGAAAAAAATCATGAAATTTAAAATATATACATTGATTTCAGAAGATTTTAGTAAATTAAATAATTTCAAAATTTTAAAAATATTCACACACTCAGAAAATATCCATGAACTTAATAAATATTAATGAATTGTACAAAATGTGAATTTTTTGAAATGTTTGTGTTTTTATGTTCACAATTTTTAACAAGCGTTCATGAATTAAAATATGAAAAAAAAGAGAAAGAGAAATAAAACTACACATCGCACACGCTTACAGAAGGGGCCTGCAATGACTCCACTATAGATATTCCTTGTATTTTCATTTCATTGTAGATGATGAATGTGTTGTTTTTTTGGGACCGTCTATCCATAAGGTACCTGAAAATAAATTTGCATCTTGTTCCTGCCAGGCGTCGGATCAGGGATGAACGGCCAGATCTCCTTCTTCTCCTCCAACCGTATGTCCATCTTGATCCTTCAATCGTGCACCCTCCGATCCAGTCCTAACTGTGTGCCTCCGCCACCCGTGGCTGGCGGCTATCGCCGCCTCGCCGCCCCGACCTTCCCCCACCACCGTGCTAGCCGCCGCCCCTACCATCCCTCTAAGCCCCACAACACCAGTGAACAACTCCCCTGACCCCCTGCACCCCCACTCTAAGATAGATAATGAGGCTATCGCTTGCCCCTAAGGCCTTGTACAATGCTAGATGCTTAGAGAGGTTCTTAGAAAAATAAAGCGAGTTTTTGTGAAGCATCGGTGCGTATTTCTACAGGAGAAACGCCTAACTAAGCGTCTAACCTATACAAATAAGAATCGGTGCTTAAAGAAAGCCTGGTTTATTTCTCTAAGCACATCCCCTAAGCACCTGCATTGTACAAGGCCTAAGATAGATAATGAGGCTATGGCTTAATCCTAAGATAGATAGTGAAGTTAGTTTTGCTCCGGTTAAGTTTCTTCTTCTCCGACAAGGTCCGGTGTGGAGGAAGGAAGGAAGGAAGAAGGCGACTGACGCAATAAAAAAGTTCAGGCACATAAAAAGTAGCAAAACTGATGTTTTTTTCTTTTGTTTTGAGTCGTAGATGATGAATGTTGGGTATAACACTGTTGGATTTTCACACTTACTGCTCTGAATATGGTTTTGGCCCTCGTTGGTACGGCGTTTTCCAGCCCAAAATGCACGCATTAATTGGAACGTAATATAACCGGCCGAATCCTAAAATCGCGCTTGATTCATCATGGACATTTCATTTTTGGGTTGTTCTGGTGGCGTTACAGCCAAAAACATTTACGGACCAAGTGACGGGTGTATTTTCATTCGCCGGTTTCATACTGGTGTACTCCCTCCGTCCGGAAATACTTGTCGAAGCAGTGGATGTACCTAGACGTATTTTAGTTTTAGATACATTCATTTTTATGCATTTCTTCGACAAGTATTTTGGGACGGAGGGAGTACAATATAATACTCCCTCCATTCCACAATGTAGTGCTTCCTCTATCTACGTGCTTCAACTTTGACCGTAAATTTAACTATCAAGACCGATTGTGGCGGGAGCAAAAATTATATCAGTGAATTCGTATTCGAAAGAAGTTTTCAATTATATAATTTTTTCTTCCGCCGCAGTTGGTCTTGTTGGTTAAATTAACGGTCAAAGTTGGACCTTGGGAAGCGCGGGCGCACTATATTTTGGAATGGAGGGAGTACCCTGTAAGGGCATCTCCAGCCGCGCCCCCAACAGGCCCTCCCCAGGCGATTTCGCCGCGCCGGCGCCGAAAAAAGGCCCCAGTCGCGCCCCCAGAAGCCCATTTTTCGCCGGCTCGGGCCAAAACTGGTGCCGGCGGACCCAGGCCGAACCCGGCGCCCTGGGGGCGCTTGGGGAGCTGGCGCAAGCGAAAAAGGCGCGTGGGCCCGCACTGGAGGCGACCCGAGGGCCTTTTCCCGCCGTTTTGTTGCCGCTTTTCTCACTTCTCTCCCGCTCGCTCGCCTTCCTCCCGCCATTCTCCTCCTTTCTCCCGCCAACCCCCGCTCGCATTCCGCCGCCATGCCGCCGAAGAAGTACTCCATGCCGCGCGCGGCGGCGACCGCGACCGGCGCCGTGACCCAACCGAAGCAGAGGAAGCCGAGGGCGCCGCCATCGAAGCCACCGGGCCTGTCGGACGCCGAGTGGAGGGTGGAAGTTCAGCGGCGAGAAGCAGTCACCGCCGACAGGCGGAACAGGGCGATAGCCAAGAAGGCCCGCGACAACGCGGCGCGCGCGGCGGCGTCTTCCTCGTCTGTCGAGGCGGGGATGAATCCTCCCATCGTCAGCCACGCCCACCAGTACGCGCCCTGGGGACAGCAAGGTGCCGGATCTCCATGGAGTTCATCGTCGCCCGGCTACGCCGACGGCGACGCGCACGGCGGGTTCAACCCAAACGTGACCTTCCCCCATGGTCACGCCGCTACACGCACGCCCTCGCCCGCCTTCGCCGGCGTGCAGTACCCACCATACAACTACTCGCCGCCCCCCGCCTACGCGACCACACCGACACCCCATCTCTACCGTGGGCCGCTGCCCTTCTCGCACCTCGGCGACGCCGACGACACGTGAGCCGACATGGACGACATCATCGCGACAGGATCGGCCACGGCCGCCTCGTCTGCCGGGTTCGCCACCCAGGACGAGGTAGTCGACCTCAGCGGCAACATGGAGGCCGAGCTCGGCTACGTCTACGGCGACGACGCGCAGGAACCCGAGGAGAAGGAGGAGGACGAGGAGGAGGAGGAGGAGGAGCCGGCTCCTGTTCCGGCGAAGGGGCGCCAGAAAAAGAAGCGGGCGGCTAGGTCGGGCGAGCCGCGCATCAAGTGGACGTCCAAGGAGGAGGAATGCCTCGCCGAAGCGTGGAAAGTCGTCTGCCTCGACCCGACGACCGGCGCGAACCAGAGCTTGGAGACGTACTGGGACCGCATCAAGGCCGAGTTCGACGAGCGGAAGCTCGTCGACCCCTACTTCAAAGGTGTCTACATGCAGCGCGGGTCCAAGGCGATGGCGAACCATTGGGGACGTATCCAGTTGGCGTGCAACAAATGGCATGGAATCGTCGAGGAGGTCGCGGCTCGCCCGGGGAGCGGCGCCAGCGTTGAGGATCAGGTACGCACGCCGTTCGCCCGCACATCTTCGTCCCCTGCACCCGCCGTTCGCCAACTGTTCGTCCATCCGCGCAGCTGCTGCGCATGTTCGCCATGTTCCGGGGTGACAACCAAGACGCCGACTTCAAGCACCTCCACGTCTACAAGCGCATTGATAAGTGCGAGAAGTGGGCAGAAGTCCGGCGTGCCCTCGACAAGGCCAAGGAGACGTACAAGCCGGACGCGCCGACTCCGGGCGCGTCGGAAGGGCGGCCGGACGGCCACAAATTGGCCAAGAAGGGGAAAAACGCCGACGCGGCAACTGCGCGAGTATAGGAGTCCATCGAGCATTGCCTCGCCGACGCCCAGGCCCGGGCCGTCCTACGCGAAGAGAAGACCGAGGCGCGGTGGTCGGCGCTAATGAAGAACAACGCCATCAAACTCGACCTGCTCCGGACGAACGTCGCCGCGAAGAAGAGGAACACCGACATGGCTTTCCTGATGGGCGGGGCGGACATGCTCCAGAGCAACGACGAGAAGCTCAAGGCGTGGTACATGGTGCAACGCGGCCTCATCCTGAACGAGCTGCCGACGGCAACGCCCACGACGCCGACGACGCCCACGGCCGCACGGACGCCAAGCCCGAGCGAAGCCTCTACGTCGCCGCCCAGCAGTGTCGAAGCCGCGCCGACGCAGCCCAACACCGAAGCAGCTCCGACACCGCCGAGCTCGCGCACGCCGACTCCGCCAACACCTGGGACCAACCCCGCTGAGTGAATGACCCCGCCGAGGCGGCGGCGCTCTGTTTTTTGTAACGCCAGACTATGCCCGATCGCCGGACTTGCGGCGTCTTTTGAGAGCGGGAACGACCAAGTTTGAATTTACCGCGTCCTGGGGCCGGCGCGTGGGTGCGTGACTGGGAGCTAGCTCGCCCCCAGGGGCCGAGCTAGCGCCGGCACGCCCCTAGGATGCCGAATTTAGTCGCCCTGGGGGGCCGAACAGCTGGAGATGCCCTAAACTATTACAGCTGGAGAAACGAAACGATTTTCGAAGCGGCCTTGGCTCAAATTTTTGGGCTCAGTTGATGAAATAGTGCCATCTCTACTATATTTTCTCTTCGGAGGAGGTTTTATTTGTTAGTTGCTGTACTTATTTTAGGCTCAACAGCATGCCTTCATACTGCATGCATATTTTATATTCCGTTTGTCCGGAATTACTTATCGTAAAAATGAATAAAAGATAAATGTATCTTGAACTACATACACCCATTTCTTCAATAAGTATTTCTGGGCAAAGGGAGTACATTTTATGAAAAGTACTGTAAGAAACGCTACTAGCTAGGCCTAGGAGATAAAATAATAGAAGCCTTTTAAGCCTGCTAAGGACTTGTTCGGTTAATCCCTTCTCCAAGATGATTGGGGAGGATTGAAGGGGATTGGGGAAGATTTTTAACTTACATGAGATTTAATCCCTCACTATCCCCTTTTATCCGCTTCAAACATTGTGCAACCGAACAAGGCCTAAATGCGTAAACTTAGAAACTGACATTATTCTCACTAAGGGCATCTTCAATGGTAACCCGTAAATTTCCTCTAGCATCGGTGTCCGTGGATAGGAGGGACCAGTCCGTGGACAAGGATGCGAGAGACCGCCATCAACATTAGTTGCATACATTTTGACATCAACTCGAACCAACCAACCGAACGAGATTCGATCAAAACGAGCAGATTTCATATAAATGCATCCGGATTTCATTACATTTACATCAAAGCGGTGCTAGTCCGACTCTGGAGGTATAATTAATACCTAATCTAAATGGTCGCCGGTGCCCGTTCCTCGTGTCCGCCCATGAGCCCCGCGAACTGAAGCTTCACCATCTCCAGTTCCGCCTCGGCACTCTCCAGCTCTGGCTCCGGAGGCTCGGGAAGTGAAGTTATCCGCCTCCACATTGCCGCCGAGCAACTATTCGGCCAACGATCTTGAGCCCACCAAGCTTGGCATTGACGCGAGGGGAGGAGCGGTGGCCTTCCTGGGACACGAGCGGTGGCGACCTATCTTGCACTACTCTTCCTCGCTGCCGGCGACGCCCACGAACGGGCCGACTTTGTGGTCATTGTGGCGGGGCGTGGACTCGGCGATGTCCTCCTCCTCATTGTTGGTCACGCCGAACATCGCCTCACCCGCGTCATCGCTCTCCTTGTAGGCGGACGCCACCTCTGCCACCCGCTGCCGGTACCGCCAGCGAGTGACGCGGATCTCACGGGCGGAGCGGTAGGACTCGAGCAACGCCTCCTGCTCCACCAGCTCCGTGTCCGACGCGACAGCCCTGCTGGCAGCAAGCTGCTCCTCCGCCTGCACGTGCTCCTGCAGGAGGTGGTTGTTGTAGGCGGCGTCGGCCTGCACCCCCCGGAACTGCTCCTCCCCCACCATGTCCATGTAATGGGCACATGCCTTGCCGATGGTAATGGTGCAATGCACCGACAGGGGTGGCGCGGAGGAGGAGGAGGGTGGCGTTGGTTCATCGTTGGCAGCGTCCTCCATTGGGACGTCGTCGTCCTCCGGCTGCCTCCCGCCCAGCCAGCCGGCAACAATGACGGCCATCTCCTTCTTCTGATCCGACGTCAGCCCATTCCAGAGAGCTTTGGCGGGGAGGAATCCATGGTGGAGTGGTGCGGAGAGGGATCGAAGGTGGATGACCACGGCTATGGCCGAGGCGGCGGTTTATATAGCAATGATGGGCGGCAGAGGGACGGTCGGGTGGCGCCAGAGCAGATGCTTCGGCAACCGCATGCCATAAATGTGGGCGGCAGACGGACGAACGAGCGACTGTCGTGTCATTTGAACGTGTGGCAGTCGCCTGCACCAGAAAGCGGCGCGGGCAGCGTTCTCTCCACCGGCGCGCCGCTTCAATGTCGTCGCTAGTGAGCGGCCGCGTCCACTCGTGCCCGGCATGAATG